ACACGGATGTTGAAATCACAAAACTTTAAAAAACCAAGTTAAATGTACTGAATCAAGTCTGACTTAGTTAAAAAAATTCAATTTTTATTTTTATTTTTAATTGTGTTTTATTCAAAAAATTAGAAGAAGATCGCTTGATCATGTAACATTTACAGAATTTAATCGCAATTTAAATTTTGTTCTTAATGATATTTTATCTTATATTATTACGCTTTTAAGAAACTAAGAAAACTATAGTTCTTGTTAAATAAATTTTGTACATGATAAAATTATAGATAATTTAATGTAATAATAAAAAATATTTAATATAATTATTATTTATTTCATGATGTAATAGTAATAATTAAACCTATAATATTTAAATTAAAAATTATATATATATATATATATATATATAGTTGTATGTATGTATGAAAACTATTTATTAACATGGAAACCAACTAATAACAAGTGGTTGCGTGGATCGTATTTCAACTTGGATTAGAATGCTCCTAATAACCAACTAAATATCTACTTGGATTAGAATAATGTCAAAACGTTTTAAAGTCATCATAATTGAGGCGGCCCATCCTGGAAATTAGATGCACCAAGTCTTGTTTGTTTTATAAAAAAAGTTATTTTTTTCTTCATTCCAAATATTATAATTTGTTGCTTTACGCTTGGAAACTTGACCCGACGAGCCTCGATGCTGACTGGTCTGCTGATAAACGTGATAAAATGATCGTGTGTGAATAAGTAAAATAATTAGCAAGTAGATTATTTAAAATATTAAAAATTATAGTATTGTTTAATATTGCAGTGATAATTATTTTTTAAAATATTTTAATATTAATATATTAAAATAATTCAAAAAGTAAAATAATTTTTTTTTTAACAAATTTTGTTTTTCTAACACAATGGTACCACAAAAGCAAACTCTGCTTAAGCATTGTAACTAGTTAAAATATTCAATCATCAATTAAAATAAATGATATAGTTAAAAAAAAAATATTACAAGTAAAATCCAGATGAATGACATGTGAGAAATCCTTTAAAAATATGATAAATATTATTTTTAAAATTTTTAATTTAAAAATATATTAAAATAATGTTTAGTTATTTTTTAAAATTTATTTTTGATATTAACACATATTAAAAAAATTAAAATTAAAAAAAAACAATTTTAAAATTAAAAAAAAAACAATTCAAAAAAATTTAAAATTTTCTGAATTATAATTCAAACATATTTCCAAACACTTTATCAAATAAAAGAGTAAAAATTTAAAAGTTGTACTACTCGACAATGTGAAAACTTCAAGAGAAAGTTTTGATTAGAAAAAGAAAAAAATACAGAGTTTATAAAATCGAAACAGATTAAAAATCAAAGATCCCTTTACAATGCTATAATATTAATATTTATTAGGACAAATTGAGTGCAAATATTAGTACATATAAAATTGATTATTTAAATATTAGGGAAAGCATGCATTCCGGAAGTCTATATATATAGACTACATTCTAATAGAAGTCTCTCATCAATCTAAGTTTACTTCCGCATTTTAATCTCTAAGAAGAGCACTTCTAGGGAATGATGGGATCTTCATTGCTGCTCGCTCAATTTATCTGCCTCCTTCTCTTCCATTCGCACTCCCAACCTACTCATTCTTCTTCCAATATCTCCTCCTCAGTACAATTATGCCCCGGTGACCAGAGCCTGGCTTTGCTCCAATTCAAAAATTCCTTTCCCATGCCTTCTTCTCCACCTACGTTTCCATGTTATCCACCCGAGAAAGTGCTGTGGAAAGAGGGTACAGATTGCTGCACTTGGGATGGCGTGACATGCAACATGAAAACTGGCCATGTAATTGGCCTAGACCTTGGTTGCAGCATGCTTTATGGCACCCTCCATTCTAACAGCACTCTCTTCTCCCTTCATCATCTTCAGAAGCTCGATCTCTCTCGCAATGACTTCAATCGCTCTGTCATTTCATCATCCTTTGGTCGGTTCTTGCATTTGACGCATTTAAATCTAAATTCATCGAATTTTGCAGGCCAAGTTCCCCCAGAAATCTCCCATCTATCCAGATTGGTGTCCCTTGGTCTCTCTTCCAACTCTGAGGAGCTGATGCTGGAACCGATTTCTTTCAACAAGCTTGCTCAGAACCTGACCCAGCTGAGAGAACTCTACTTGGGTGGAGTGAACATGTCTTTGGTGGTACCCAGTTCCTTGATGAACTTGTCTTCTTCTTTGTCATCTCTCCAACTCTGGCGTTGTGGATTGAAAGGGGAACTCCCTGATAATTTATTTCGCCGATCAAACCTTCAATGGCTCGATTTATGGAGCAACGAGGGACTGACTGGCTCTTTTCCGAAATACAATTTGAGCACTGCTCTTTCGCATTTGGATCTGTCATATACGCGGATCTCAATTCATTTGGAACCAGATTCGATCAGTCATCTGAAGTCCGTGGAGAAGATGTATCTTAGTGGGTGCAATTTTGTTGGCTCGAACCTGGATCTACTTGGTAACCTCACTCAACTCATTGAGTTGGGACTTGCAGGTAACCAGTTTGGTGGTCAAATCCCTTTCTCCCTGGGAAAACTTAAGCAACTCAAGTACTTGCATCTTGGAAACAATAGTTTTATGGGTCCAATTCCGGATAGTTTGTTTAAACTCACACAGCTTGAATGGTTGGACCTCTCGTACAATAGACTAATAGGTCTGATCCCATTTCAAATAAGCATGCTTTCAAATCTAACCGCACTACTTTTATCTAATAATCAACTGATAGGACGCATCCCATCACAAATAAGTAGGCTTTCAAGTTTAATCATTGTCGACTTGTCCCATAACTTGCTCAATGGAACAATTCCATCCTCCTTATTTTCCATGCCTTCATTGCATTTTCTTCTTTTGAACAATAACCTATTGTATGGCCAGATAAGTCCGTTCCTTTGTAATTCATTACAATATATCAATCTTAGTTTCAACAAGTTGTATGGCCAGATTCCACCTTCAGTTTTCAAGCTTGAACATTTGAGACTTCTTAGGCTTTCCTCCAATGATAAACTGACTGGGAACATCTCTTCTGTCATTTGCGAGCTGAAGTTCTTAGAGATTCTAGATCTGTCCAACAATGGCTTTAGTGGATTCATCCCACAATGCTTGGGAAACTTCAGTGATGGACTCTTAGTGTTGCATCTTGGTGGCAACAATCTCCACGGCAATATCCCTTCAATCTATTCAGAAGGGAACGATTTGAGATATCTCAACTTCAATGGCAACCAATTGAATGGGGTGATACCATCAGCCATCATCAATTGTGTGAATTTAGAATTTCTGGATCTTGGCAACAATATGATTGATGACACATTCCCTTCCTTTCTAGAAACGCTTCCAAAGTTGAAGGTTGTTATTCTAAGGTCAAATAAACTCCATGGTTATTTGAAGGGTCCAACTGTCGAGGACTCTTTTTCTAAATTACAGATTTTTGACCTATCCAACAACAGCCTGAGTGGTCCTTTGCCAACAGAGTATTTCAACAACTTCAAAGCCATGATGAGCATTGATCAGGATATGGATTACATGAGGACAAAAAATGTATCTACTACTTATGTTTTTTCTGTGCAATTGGCATGGAAAGGTTCGAAGACTGTGTTTCCTAAAATTCAAATTGCGCTCACGACACTTGATTTATCCTGCAATAAATTCACGGGAAAGATTCCAGAGTCCCTCGGGAAGCTTAAATCTCTGAAACAGCTCAACCTTTCTCACAACAGCCTCATTGGTGGTATCCAGCCGTCATTGGGGAATTTAACTAATCTGGAGTCGTTGGATCTCTCTTCAAATCTGCTTGCTGGAAGGATTCCTCAGGAACTGGTAGCTTTAACATTTCTTCAAGTCCTGAACCTTTCGTATAACCAACTTGAGGGACCCATACCTCTAGGTAAGCAGTTCAATACATTTGAAAAAGGTTCATTCGAAGGGAACGTGGGATTATGTGGGTTTCCCTTGCAAGTAAAATGCAACAAAGACGAGGGGCAACAACCGCCTCCGTCAAACTTCGAGAAAGAAGATTCAGTGTTTGAAGAGGGATTTGGATGGCAAGCTGTAGCAATGGGTTATGGATGTGGATTTGTCTTTGGAGTCTCTATAGGATATGTTGTATTTAGAGCAAGAAAAGCTGCATGGTTTGTGAAAATGGTTGAAGACAGTGCCCATCAATATGGTAAAAGGCTTAGAAGGGAGAATGCTCCCAGAAATGGTGGAAGACGATACTAGCTACTCAGGGCAGTGTGAGAAGGTAAGTCTTGATAATGCTTTTAACTAATAGCGCAAATATTTTATTCCATGATCCATCACCACCAGCTTAGTTAATTAACTTGCTTTGTGGACTAGATCAATAATGGCAGCAGTCAAGAAGAGGGAATCATCTTCCAGGCTAGTGCCGCTGCTTTTTATTTTTTGTACGTCGTGTGTTTGGTTATATAAACCATCCTTATAGTTAACTTTTGAAAACAAAATGTAAAAACCTATTTGCGCTAAAAAAAATTTATTTTTTTTATTTTGGTTATGTAAACCATCCTTATAGTTTATTATATGATTTATGGATGGTTCCATAATTTTAATTTTTTGTAAATTGAAACCTATTTAAAAAAGCTATAAATCCTTTAAATTGAAAGAAATGAATTACCATTTTTAAATTAAAAAGTTACTACAGTCAATTGTTAAATTAATTATTCAAATTTTTCTATTATTTCTAGCATGATTTAAGCTAATAACATTAACCTGTTATAATAGGTAGGTTGACCTGATATAGGACAATTATATGTTAATTAGATATTGGTCCTGAATTTATTGTTTCAATACCATAGAAAAAATCATAATTTAGATATTCTGTAATCTCTGTCTTAACTTTTTGCACCACTATGTACTTTTTTCTATACATAAATTATATATATAAAAAAACCAAATTTATTTAGGAGAAAAAACAGAACAATAAATTTCTTTTTTTTTTTCATTTAGGTTTTTTAACACTATTTAATGTTAAAAAATTAAAAGAGTTACATGAAGAACGACACCGTTTTGAAATAAAGGAGAAGCGTCAAATAATAAATTCCTTGCTTGAGAGAGAGAGCAACGAGAGAGAAGTGTGATAATTTGAAATAAATAAAAAGAAAATCGACTTGCCGCCATTTCTCTCCTTCAAAACCCCCACACCACAAGCCAAGAAGAGAAGAGAAGAAACGTTTCCAGCCAGAACTCTTTCAGGTTAGGGATTCGTGTCTCTTCAAATAACATTTCACTGTTTCCGAATAAACGTATAAATTTGATTTATCAATAGCAATTGCTGCTGCTTTGCAATTTCGATGGTCACTTTGCTCGCGTTTTAGATCTCCATATAATTTATTTATGTTTGTAATCTCTAGTTTCTTTACGATTTCAGTCGTTGATTTGTGATTTTCATTAAGGAGAACGCTAAGGAGTGTAATTTTCAGGAAAACATATCAATTCAATTCCGTTTGTTTGCGCGTCATCTTTTTTCTCGTTTTCCGTTTGGACGCCGAGAAAATTTGAGAATCGGAAAGGAGTTTCAGGAATTTGAATAATAAGACTTCTTTTTTTGAACTCGAAAAAATTGGTGGTTTTCATGCAAATTTTGGGTCTGCGCGGACTTTTTGTCTCAGCACCAAACTGAGGGTTCTCGGTCATTAAGATGCAAACAAGATCCTTAATAATGATGCAGCCTGTCCAATCTGTGATCAAGTGCTCTCTAAGAGGTGAGTGCTTTATGGAAATGCTTATTCCTTGAAATGCTTGTTGTGGCTTGGAATTGTTCCTTAACAAATAGAATTTATTTGACTTTTCCTTGAATTTAATATATGAAGCTCTTATGATTTTAAAGAATTTACTGGGACTAAAAAATTCAATATATTTTTCAGTATTTACAGCTATATCTGTCAATTTTATTGAACACCTCTAATATGAACACCTCTAATATGAACTAATGATATGCGTAATCTTTACTCATGTTTCTTGCTCATGGTATTCTGATTTTACTTTCAATTTTGGTTTCCTCTTTACAGCCTTATGAAACCTGTGGAGATCAATCCAAATGATGAATGGATAAATGTAAGAAAGGACTTAGCTTAGAATATTACGAATATCTTGCTTCTTCTATTACATATTATTAAAGTGAAATCTAAACATGCATCATTATTTGGTCAAGACATTGCTATTTCTTATTTTACTGGTTGCCTTTTTCCTTTTATTCATAATGAATTTCTTGCAGATGGCCATGGCTGGAATATCTCCACAGATATGTATCCTTTTTAAGTTAATACAATTTTTCCTCAAATCCATCAACTACTAGTTTGAATGCAAGTAGAAAATTTGAAATGATAAGACTATTTGGTGGTACTCATAATTCTTCTATTTCATTTGGGAGAATTACCACACTGAATAGCAGAATGGTTCTTAGCATTCACTGGGAAACGTGCAAAAACAGCCTTTTAATCCTTGCATCTTCCTTAAATGACCCCAGTGATGAAAAGTGCATACAGAAGCGTGATGTTTTTTACTGGGCAAAGGGAACTTGAGATGCAATACAAGATGAATAGAATTGTAGCTCAGTGCCGGCAAAAATGTGAGTCCATGCAAGAAAAGTTCACGGAAAAACTGGAGCAGCTGCACGCTGCATATCAGAAAATGGCCAAAAGGTGCCATATGATGGAACAAGAGATTGAGAGCTTGTCAAAGGATAAACAAGAGCTCCAGGAGAAATTTTCTGAGAAAGCCAGGTCAGTTTATATATTGTCCAAAGCCTTCAATTACTTTATCAGCTTATGATGCAAGCCTGGATCGTAATAAACACTGGTACTTTCTATACTAGGCAGAAGAGGAAACTTGATGAAATGTATGATCAGTTGAGGAGCGAGTACGAGTCAAATAAAAGATCAGCCATCCAACCAGCAAACAATTTCTTTTCAAGAAATGAGCCTGATTTGTTCTCAAACCCTGCAGCTACCATGATGGATAACAGAGACCCTATCCGTAAAGGTAATCATTTTCATTTTATAATGGCAATAGGACAGCATAGGCTCCTTGTGGTGCCTTAAAATGTTTCTTGATTATTAAAGTCCTTGTTAAGCTTGCAACAATGGAAATGTTTGCTTTGTCATTGTCACGCTATAGCTTTTAATAATGCATTTTGGTTAAGCATCTCCAAAATTAGTTGACTTAATTTATGCAGATTGGACGGTTTTCACTCCCTCAACTCCAGGGCCTCGGGAGGATATATGGCCGGCAAGACAAAACAGCTCGAATTCTGGTCCCTTTGAAATCCGTGGTGGCTCACCAGCAAACCAGGCAGCCATGCCAGTTGATGTTGGAAATAGAAGAATTGGTGCTGTCCCTTCCTTTGGAGCTGGATCTGGCAACCCCTCAATGACGCTAAGGAACTTGATACTATCCCCGATAAAGCGCCCTCAACTTTCACGTAGCCGCCCTCAGATGTTCACGTAAGTGGTGGACTGTTCATTAACCAGACTTCGCAGTAGCGTAGCCCAATCTTTGTATTTTGATTCAAATTGCTAGATATTTGATATTTCTGATTAATTTATCTTTTATATTTTCTTTTTCAGGCTGTAGGCTACAAGGCAAGGCGTGCAGCTTACCTGCACTCGCCGGACTGCTTGGTTTCAGAACAGTCCTGAGAAGCTTTTTCTGTCTTCCCTTTCCTTTTCCTGTCTTCCAGAAAACAAAGAAAAAAAAAAAGGGAAGGAGAAGAATGATGACGTGGCACAAACAAGAAACTGTAATCCTGATATCATGCAAGCGTAGATTTTGGCTTCCATGCCAACAGATACATGGAAATAGCAATTATACTGTTGGATTTCTTGTTTGATATAATTAAAAAGGGTACATAGAAGTTGTCAAAGCGCTAGCTTAAAGGGGCACACGTGTTTGAACCTCAGCAACTCTTGATGCTCTTGCGTGGCTCTTGTAACAGTAGCATCCTCTGCTTTCTCTGACCAGTTTAACAGAGGATTCAGGTTCTACTAGGAAATACTGAAATGATATTAGCATTTTCCTCCGGAGCCTGGATTTCTCGATCCAATTGCAACTTTTGTGCCTGTCTGCTATGAAAGAACGGCTGGACCATTTAGGCAGTTACAAATCTTAAGAGTCAATTCTAATTGGTCAATAAAAACGTATTTCAATGCCATTTCTTTTCTATTTTTCAAGCAATTTCACTTCATTGTCGTTATTTAGAGTACATGATTTAAAACAGAGAACAGCATCTTGCTTGATACAAGGGCCTTGAGTTACAATTTTCCCACAGTTGATTCTCTGGGCCGGCACAAGCTTGGGTTCACAAGGGAAAATGGAGATCCTGCGTTTTTGACTTCTCAATAAGAGAAATATAATTTCCCTACAAAATTACAAGACCTCTATCATGCATGCAAAATTTCTGTCCTTTCAGGTATTTACACTCCCTGTTCACATGTCCTCTGTGTTAATCTTGAGGCAAAAAAACTTTCAAGCCCGGGGCCTTGGAAGACATTTCAATGGTATCCCCATGCTGGATAGAGTGGAAAACATGAGAACCATCAATATATATTACTCCCTTCTTGGAAAACCATGAGGCCTTCATGGACTGATCGGATTTAATTATCCCGTGCATTAACCTGATTGCAGCTCCAGGTGAAATGGGTTCTCTCACCATATATTGAAGGTCCTCGGATAAAACAGGCATCACAAATCCACCTGCCGAGAGCATTGCAGCTGTTGATCCAGCAGCAGTTGAGACTCTGAGACCACTTGATCGGCAGTTCACTAATGGGCCACACGATTCACCACCCCTCTGAATCCTGACAACAAGAACAAAGGTTCAACATAGGTCGTATCAACATACTATGCTGTAATCAAAGCATGCTCAATGCCAGATCTTTACATGAATGAGAAACGTGAAACTGTCGCAGGGCAAGGGTCTGCAATCAATACGTCATTGAGGGCATAAGTAGACAGCGGTTGTGAATTTACACTTAATGATATTCTCGACAGATTAGAAGGGACTTTCTGACCAGCTAGGATATCATCTAGCACCTGAGAAAAATCAACATGATTGATGAACAAAGGAAATTACTTACTATGAAAAGAATTTGGTGATTTCTGCTAATTTAGGTAATACATATTATAAGAACAGATGACACCATTCCAGAAAATACATGCTATAAAAAAATGATAACAGTACAGGCACATAAACTCAAATGAGAGTACAACCATCTCAAGATTACAAATTATAAGATGAAAGTGTGTTTAAATCTCTTCTCCAAGGAGAAAGCCTTCTAATGACTAGCAATCCAGTCAGGATGCTTCTTTTAAAAATGGTTTAGTAAAATTAAGTTAGGTTTCAGGTCTTGGATACACTTTCTGGATTGCCTAGTGATCAGGATTGCCTAGTGATCAATCCATGTTAGCACAAATGCTAGTATTTAACTGGACATTACATGGCTACTAAGTTGTCCTTTAATCAATACCCAAAACTTATAATCACAGCCTATACATTATCAGAGTCACATTTATTGTCTATGCCTGCTTCTTTAATTTCCATTCGTTAACCCCCGTTGGTATTTCTTACTTGTTCAAAACTCTGGACAGTTGCTGCACACAGGTAGCCAGTGCTTCTAGTAGCATCAAATTCATTACTGAATTTCTCCACCTACACCAAAGAGCATACTGTAATTGAACATCCAGAACACACCTTAACATCAAGGGAAAAAAGAAGAGAATCTAAATAAATCCTTGCAGACATAATGAACACAATTCTAAGCTCAGCCTGACAAATAAACTAACCTCTTTGACTTGTGTGGGATCTGAGTTCACTCCCAGAACCGGAGTTGAATCATCCAAGAAATGACTTGCTTGTAAAAGAGTTCCATCACCACCAACAGTAACAACCAAATCAAAATTCCGAATTGGTTGTGACAAATTTGTACGTAAGATGGGTTCCCAATCAATATTTGATTTCTTTCGTAAAATATCCTGACAGAAGTTTACAGCATCCTTGTGAACCTTACGCCTGTTATCTAGATAACGAAAAGCCTGCAATAATTCCAACACAAAATTAAGGAAGAAACATCGAAGAAACCTTTACATGATTAGTAAAAACAGAAAATGACCAAAAAAAAGAGGCTGAGAATTTAGATCAAATGGTTCCTTCAAACATTCCTTGACCAACAAAATTTCTAGCAAGCTGCCATCAAATTTGAGAATGAACAGAATTCTTCCATTGAAACATAAAAATTAAGTATTTTGATTTATAGTCATCTACTATTACAGATATAATAGCTAAATAAGAGCAGTAAATGTCAAACTCAATGAAAATAATACAATCCAAAAAACGCTAATATCAACTTTGACATTTTATCAAACAGAGTATCTTCATCAAGGTTAAGCCAAATGTTATAACAGAAAAGAAAAATGAAAATGAGACAAGGGAGAAGAACCCAAAAAGAAATGGCTAATATTTAAGAGGGTTGAAGTGAAGAAACCATGAATAGTGAGTGAGCTCTGAATATTCTGTAAAAAAAAATAGAGAGAGTAAAAGTGGTGGTGTTACTACTGTAATGTACATATGGTTGTTACCTGAGAATTGGTGATGGAAGAGCCACCATTTGATTGGCCAAATTGGTAAACATCAAAAGGTTTTAACATCAATAATAGCCGCCTCCTTGCCATCTTTTTATCTTTCTCACTGTGTGTTCGTTAGCTCGCTTCCTCGATGGGTTTAGAGCAGCGAAGTGCTGTCCGTCCTTAAAGACTTGGGAGAGTAAGGGGCTGGAGATGCAGGCGTGCTGTGGAAGGCAGTGAGTTGGGCTTCGTGCCTGTTTGGGCTACTTTAATAACTGTTACTCAAAATGTGCAATTCTTTCTTCTAAATTAATAATACATTACACTTACGTTACGTTACAATTATAGCTATAACTTTAAACTACAAACTATAAACTAAAACTTCATGGTATTTTACTGTAAATCAAAGTTTATAGATATATATTATATTAATGAGCAAATATATTTAGTTTTTATCACATTAAATAAAAAATATCCAGCAAAAACCTAGAATTAATTCATATTTAAAACTATAAGCATATAAAAATATAATTTATGAAAACATGCTTTCAACATAAATATAATAAAAACAATTTAACCATATAATTAAATTTGCAACTAGAGTGTTTATGACTTGGTTCGGTTTAGTTTGGATATAAAAAATCAACTAAATTAGAAATAATAATTTTTTAAAAAAATAACTTGGATCAAATCAAAAACCTATTCAAACCGAACTAGTTTGATTAGGTTAAAATTGATATTTTAACGTGGAAAAAATAGAAAACCAAATATTTGGATAAAGTTTGAAAAAGCAAAGGGATAATTTGATATTAACAATAAGGATAATCAAAGAAAAAACATATTAAAGCATGCAAAATTATAAATGACCAACTACCCTTGACTAAAAGATAAGAGGAAAAGAGAAAAAGGGAGGGAGGGAGTTTTAGAGAAAGCTAAGTAAAGTCATCAAACTATAAATGTAAACCTTGAATTGAAAAGAGAAAAAGGACGGGAGGGATTTTTAGAGAAAGCTAAGTAAAGTCATCAAACTATAAATGTAAACCTTGAATTGAAAAGAGAAAAAGGACGGGAGGGATTTTTAGAGAAAGCTAAGTAAAGTCATCAAACTATAAATGTAAACCTTGAATTGAAAAGAGAAAAAGGACGGGAGGGATTTTTAGAGAAAGCTAAGTAAAGTCATCAAACTATAAATGTAAACCTTGAATTGAAAAGGTTCTAAATACAAACAAAACTTTATTGAAATTTTGGTAGAATTCATAAAAAAAAAGAAAACCTCAAATTAAAAGCATATGTTAGGATCTTTTAGCATTGATCAAATCGTATTGTTAAGTCTATTACAATAAAGATAAAGAGGGAAGGGTAGGGTGGTTGCATGAGGAAAGAAAATTAGGGGAATAGAGTTTCACAGAAAAATTAGTTTTTCATACTTGGGTTTGCTTTGAGGGTTCAACTTTAAACTAAATCAATCCAATTCAATTAGTTTCATACTTTTAAAATCAAAACTGAATTGAACTGAAAGTTCTTTTAATTTTCTAATTGGTTAATTTGGTTTCTTTTCTTGGTTTGTTTTATTAGTTAATGTTTTTTTGGTTATTTTTAAACAACCTTACTTGCAATCAACATTAATTCAAAACTCTAACAAACATACTAGTAATGAAAATATATCTATATTTAAATTAAAAAAAAAAGTATTTACTTGTTCAAGCATTTTAAAGTGATAAAACATTTGATATTGTCAAGGTTGAATTATGTCCTTAAAGCTTTATTCCTTGCTAGGATGTTTATAACATCTCTTCCAAGATTTCAACAATACCATCTTAGTTTAGATGCATACTTAAACAAAATATTTGAATGAAAGAATATGAAACTCAAATATATCTCAGTAAGATGAACCTAAACTTCAGATTAGGGTGGAAAATCAAAGTTTAAAGTGAGGAAAAAAACATTAAAATATGAGGTGAGGAAGAATATGTTAAAAACTCAAAACTTTAAGTTAGAAACTTTTTCTTCATTTTTTTTATAGTGAATTTTGAAAACTAAAAAGGTTGAAGAGTTAATAAAAATTAATTCCCACCATCATCAACCTTTGATTAACCACCATATAGCAATAATAAAAACAAGAAAAACCAAGGTTATTTTTAGCAAGAAAGTCAAGGATTCTTTGGGATTAATTTTTTATTCACCTATAATTTGTTTAAATCATGTTATTTGAATAAATTTCCAATAATCCTCCACATGAACAAAAATTGCTCACTGTTTTTAAAACCACTCAACGATTTATTGAGAAATATTGATTTTACATATCAC